AACTTTTTTCTCCACAATGTTTCACACCAGCATGAGAAAACATTGCCAACCTGACAAAGAATCAGGCCATAGAAACCCACAAGACACTAAAACACTAAAAATGAAACCCACATATGGGTCTAACATTTAAACTAAAGGAAGCAAACAGACAGAGGCACCAAAACCACACTGACATAGAGAGACACAGAGGGGAACAGAGGGGAATTCAGGGGGCAAACAAAAGAAGAAAACTCTTAGTCAAACATAAACGTAAAGGTTACAATAAAAACACAATAATTAATATACAATTAATATACAATACAAACAAGGAAGAAGAAAGTCAAAGAAATTAAAAAGATTAACACTTGTTCTGAGCATGTGGTAAAAGGTTTGATTTCATGTTGTACTTGTGGTCACTGGTTTGTACGGTTATTTCTGCAAAGTATACATGTTGCCACAGTGAAACTGGAGCAAAGAGGATCACAGGTGGTTCTTATTCACACACATTTGTGCACATTGCATGCAGAGGCCCCTGCACAAATCAGATATCTCACAAATCAGATATCTTTTTACACAGTTTGAGCTTTTCTTCAGAAAGATAACCAAGTCATAACTAGTCAGCACAGTCAGTGTATTAAATGTTACAAAATCAACTGGCCCACAGTTGATTGCGTGACGATCATGCAGCAAAGTGAAATCCGATGAAAAACAAAGCCAGGTGCAAGTGCATACAGTGGAGGTGGGGTGGCGTGCAGAAGGGGCTTGAGCACCTGCACCCTTTTTAATGTGTATGTGAGTCCAGGCCATGCCCCTCAACAATAACATTTCACTATTAATCACTACTTTTCTAATTAGAAGGATCTGGCTTGCATCAGTTACATGACTCTCATTAACCAATGCTCACCCTTAACGGCACAGAGAATGCTAGTCAATGACTGTAGAACAGGGGTCTCGAACTCCAGTCCTCGAGGGCCGGCATCCTGAAATGTTTCCATGTGTTCCCGTTGCAACACACTTGAACAAAATTAGTAGGTCATTAGCAAGTATAGAGTATAGAACTTGACTGCATGCTGAAGTGGCAACCCCGAACCCTACTCAAGTAAATTTAAGTAAATGTTACTGTTTGGAAAAAAAAATGCACTTCTAAAAGTACTTTTATTCCAGCATGTTCATTCACTCATGAGCTGCTGTAACATGAATCAAATGGCTGAATTGCCACCTCAGCATGCAGTGAAGTTTTATAGAGTCTTGCTAATGACCTACTAACTGTATTTAGGTGTGTTGCAACCTAAATACAACTGTCCTGATGACAGTGATGTACTATGATGCCATTAAATTCTTGATGAATGTAGGTTGTTGTTATTAAACCTGGTTCTATGTAACTTTGAGTACCCGTACTAGTATTTATTAAGACAAATTCTTTTTCTGTATCTCTTTTTTTTTAAGTTTCCAACACAGATAAGAAACTTCTGCATTTAACTGAAACCCTAAAAGTGTTTCCTGCAATCATCAGTTATCTGTTTTTGAAGTCTTTTTTCTTTAAAATTGCAGTTTCACCAAATTTACTGCATTGCAGTGGTGTAAAATAGACATAATTTAAAATGTACCAAAGTAAAGCTCACGCTAATTGTGAGCATCCAGTCTTTTTATATTATTGGTGTTAGGTTTGAGCCTAAATGTGTCTGTTATGCATCTCACAACCAGTAGATGGCACCAACACCAAGCGACCGGTATATGTAACTTTGAGAGTCCAAGTAATGAACAGAAAAAGAGAGTAAACCAAACAAATTTTTTAAAACAAAAAAAAAAAAAAAAGAAATGTGTCTGCGTGGTTCAGTGTGTGTATGTATTGTTTGCACACTGACCTTAATTGAGCAACATAACATAAATTGGCGACAAGTTGACAAATTATATGACTTAAGATTACCTTATAAAAGGTAAATGGGAACACAAGAGGTAGGGCAAAGTGGGGTGATTTGTGCCAGCAGGTAAGTGGTACCACCCCTTGTTTCTAGGGAAACATAGAAGAAATGGGTCATGTGACCACACATTTTTGAAGAGTGGGCCACATTACTCATCCTGCAAAGAAGAGACCCGGGTTGCATGAGAATTAAGGACATTTAAGTTAAAAAAAAATAAATATTTTTTTGCCTTTCAAAGTGAACTTTCTATGATCAATGTTTTTTGATTGTTTTGTCTGAACAGTGATAGACAAGTCTGAAAACATTTCACAGACGTTTAAGTGCTTTGGTAAGCTACACTCTGAGTCTATACACTTAACATGATGTTAGATAAAAACTGCTGGATGATGCTTTTTTGTCAAAATGGCAGGCTTGCTTATGAATATTTTAAATATATTATTTCATTGCAATTGTAGATTGTATTTTTACAATTTATCACTGTGACTTTATTAATTTAGAAAACATCGAGGGAACAGTTTACCCTGCCCGGGATAGGGTTACCGGCTGGGCCTTAGTAATAATAATTGGGAGGACAGGCAGGGCTTCCACTCCTTTAGAGTACATGGACAGACCAGTGAACAAGGTGGAGAAGTCCATTGGTCAGGTGTTGAGGAAGATGAATATATTCAGGATGGCATTAAGACGATACATGGAGAGGAGAAAAATTGATGGAAAAGAAATAAGGCTATAAAAGGATATGAACGATCTGGACTTGCCAATCAAACTTTGACAAACATGGAGAAAGAGCTGGCAGATCATTTAAAGGTACTAGCACCTTTTATAAAGCCAGTTCAGGGTATTTGAGTATGCACAAAGAAATAGCATTTTGATCCAGCTGGCAGGAATATCAGTGTGCATATATTAAGAAAAAGTAATAGGGAACATTAATAATTATTTCCCCAAATGCTCATTATCAGTTATCAAAATGCAGCTAGCTCACAGAGAAGGAAGGTTGCTTTCTTATTTAGAGACTATAGCTTGATATATGCAAATATGAAAGTAATTGTGATTGGATTGATTGATGGTGCTGACACTGTTGCAATGCTTTTAAGGTGAAGTAGTAATAGGTCTGTGAATGGAAAAGCCATCTTCACTTTCAAAGAAAATGATGATGGAGTCATCCCTGGAGAAGATGTGCATAAAAAAAAAAAACAAATACCCACACCACAAAAACTTGGCGGTACAGCCAGAAGGCAGCAGTGGGTATCATCAGCAATTTGATGTTATGGAGTCTGTGAAGATAATTGCAGTTAATTTTGTCTTCATTTAAATTTCATTTTGTTCTGAACATGAAGTTATGTGACCCAGGCCTTGTTTAAAAAAAACTGACTTTTGATGTGCGCAAGTGGTAAAATTGTCTTGTAAAAAATTAGCCTTTGATGTTGTAAAATAACTTTCAATAAACCTTAGATATGTAATTTTGTGTTAAATTTGTCTAGCTTTTATATAGCATTACAGTTTCTGAGATCAAAATATACTGTTTTACTTTCATAATCAGTGGCAGGATTGACCCCAAAGTACTCCAAAGGCACAACTTACCCCACACCAGGGCAAGTTGTGCCGCAAGACCACTTTTTTTCAGAAAGCCATATTTCTTAAAAAATATATTTCAGATCCACATTTATGGTTTCCAGGGATGGACAACATCCTGATTTATATGTAAATGTTTTATTTGGAAGCATTACTGTCTCACTTTAAAGTCACTTTAACTAAAAACTGGCACAACTCACCCCACTCTCCCCTATAGAGACACCATGTGCATAAGATGACATGCTCCGAGCCAGTACCTCAACAGACTGCAGTGAATTCCCCTGACAAATCCTCAGATGTCACTACTAATGTAGGCCTTTCTTTTTGAGCTCATGAACAACTGATTTGTCCAGATATACCTGGTCTTCAGTCACCGCAACCATTTATAGAGTATGATGCTGAACATTAAACAGGAAAAAAAGTATTGAAAATTAACTCAGTCTTAAACACATTCAGCAGTAATATAGGATAAGATAAGATAAGCTTTATTAGTCCCACACGTGGGAAATTTGTTTTGTCACAGCAGGAAGTGGACAGTGCAAAAGTTATGAAGCAAAAATTAGAATACAATAAGAATAAATACAGTACACAACTGTACAGAATAGAATAAAATAAAATCACTCACCACCTCCACTGGGTCCAGAGGGCATCCTAGAACAGAGCTGGCCCTTTGGATCAGCCTGTTCAGTCTCTTCCTGTCCCCAGCAGAGATGCTGCCACCCAGCAGACCACACCATAAAAGATAGCAGAGGCCACCACAGAGTCATAGAAGGTCTTCAGGAGTGGGCCCTCCACTCCAAATGACCTGAGTCTCCGCAGCAGGTACAGCCTGCTCTGCCCTTTCCTGTAGAGGGCGTCTGAGTTATGAGTCCAGTCCAGTCTGTTGTTCAGATGAACACCAAGGTACCTGTAGCTGTCCACAGCCTCAATGTCCATACCTTGGATGTTCAGTGGTTGCAGTGGGGGATGTTTGTGCTTGCGGAAGTCTACCACCAGCTCCTTGGTTTTACTGGCGTTGATCTGGAGGTAGTTCAGCTGCCACCAGTCCACAAAGTCTTGAGTCAGTCCTCTGTACTCCTTGTTGTCCCCATCAGTGATGAGGCCGACTATTGCAGAGTCATCAGAGAACTTCTGCAGGAAGCACTGGGTGGAGTTGTGGGAGAAGTCTGCAGTGTAGCTGGTGAAGAGGAACGGAGCCAGAACCGTTCCCTGTGGGGCCCCCGTACTGCAGACGACCCTATCCGACACACAGCCCTGAGTTCTCACATACTGTGGTCGGTGAGGTAGTCCAAATATTGATCACTTAACACTGATAGATGATGATAATCTCTGCCTGCGTTTCTCTAAAAGTCACCACATGCCAAACAAATGGCAAAATAATTATACATTTTATAATAAAGTGCATGGAGCCCTGCTGCCAGTATTTAAATGAAAAATTTACACCAGTGAGAGGAAGCCACAGTCAACTTTTTCCCCGAGCATAAATAACCCACATAAAACCCACTTCCTGCTCAGATCATCTCTCACAGATAAATGACTACAGCTCTCGAGGAGACACCATCTTTTATCTATAAAGAGATAAAGAGAACGTTTCATTATGACGGCTGGTGTAAGACACCTTCTAGGCTTGACCTTGGCCATCGTCAGCTTTGTGGGGACCATTGTCATCTGTGCTCTTCCACAGTGGAGAGTCACAAAAATCTTAGAGCAATCGAGCATTGTTGGTTCCCAGGTGTTCACTGAAGGTTTGTGGAAAGTCTGTGGTTCTTTCAGTGAACAGATTTTGGCGTGCAACGAGTATGAGAAAACACTTTTGCCTATAAGTCAAGACCTGGAGGTTGCTAGAGCGCTCATTGTTATTGCCATTATCAGTGGTGTCATTGGGATCCTGCTTGGTGCTGCTGGAAGCAAATTCATGAACTTTGTGCCAGACGAAAGGAAAAGGAGTAAAATGGCTATGGCTTCTGGAGTTGTTTGTCTCATTGCAGGCATCTTTGTGCTAATACCAGTCTGCTGGACCACCAACGCCATCACCACCATACAGGATAATTACAACAACTTTCTTCCTCATGTCTCTTTGAAGAGTGAGCTTGGAGCCTCGCTTTACATTGGCTGGATCACCACAGCACTTCTGTTCCTGGGAGGAGGCCTCCTCTGCAGCTCCTTTATCTGCCAAGATGGAACTGACTAAAACATTAAGTACACCAACCCTTGCCCTTGTAAAAAGCCTTATTTACAAAGAGCAATTAGTCAGTAATTTAGTTACTCATATTAACCTAAGCTTAGAAATCCAGAAGTCTGTTAAAAAAAAAAGGAAACAAAAGTTGAATGAATAGAATAAGAAAGTCTAAAATCGAATTAAAATAGGCAGAAATATTGGCAATTTGATGTTGTAACTTAATTCTTGATATATTTTGTTGTATTTTATACCATTATAGACACTTTTTCTTTTCATGTTTATTGTCTATGCCGTTTACTATAAAATTGTGGACACAGTTTTCCTGTTTTTCTGTGATCATTGTAAAAATCAAAAGCATGTGCGTTCAAACTTCTATAAACATGATTCTGTGGCTTAAATCTCGATCTGATCTTTGACTTTTTCTTTGTTAAACTGCTTCAATGTTGATGATTATGATTTTCCTTTGCAGTTGAGTTCAGATTATTTTTCTGCAGTATTTGTTATATATATATATATTAGGTATGATTGTATTGTAACAGTAAAATTGTCACATTAAAATGCCTGTTCATAAGAGCATGAGATCATGTTTTGGGGTTTGGGGCATTTTAAGTATTGTTTAGTTTTTTAACGCTGTCTTTATGTTGGCTGTTTTTTGTTTAAGAAGCCAAATAAAAACAGATTTTTTAAATCATCACATAAAGGACAACATGTGTCAGATGAACAATGTCATGGACACAAAATAAAAGCTGGATGCCATTGCCTTTGATACAGTGAATAGCTAAAAGATTAATCCTTATAAGGTGAAAAGACGTGTCATTGTCTACTCTTATTCAATGAAATGTTTGAGTGGGCTCACAGAGATATGATACAATTTTCAGGGTTTGTATGTGAACAATGTCAACAGCTCAACAGGTGGCAAATGAGGGTATTTGGAAGAAAGCAGAAATATACTGAGGACCTGATTATTTATTATAATTATTAACTATTCATGTATGTCCCTCCTGACTTCTCTCAGGGATGGGGGCTTGGGATGTTTTTTGTTGTCCTGTCAAGTCAAACTGTTAATATAACATTCAATAAATAAAGTGTGTTGAATAAAGCAGTAAACCAAAAATAATAATAATAACAATAACAATAATGTGCTGCACAACAATGGTAGGGAAAAAAGTGTCTTTCCATATCCTTCTTTTCCTTTTGTCTGGCACAAAATTGATCAACCTGCTCTCGGTTTGTAAATGATTTACAGGAAATAATGGATGTGAATATAAAACTTTAAACATGCCCAGGAAGTTTTTGGAATAAATGCTTTGTTTTATTATGAGATGAATGATGAGAGATTATGAGAGCACGCTGTGTGTACCAGTAAACAGGCATAAGATAAAACCAGAAATGAAATTGTTTTGAGCCCGACTAAAAGTTTGATTTGGTGCTCAATGTGTTGCTGGCTTTGTGTGGTTCTATTTCTTACCCTATATCCTGCTGCAGTGATACTGATTTTCACACAGGATATTGTTTTTCTCATCTTTCTCTCAATGCTTCAGAAATACATTCTGTATGCAATAATTATTCCCATGCATTAAACACACACACAGAGACTACTGATCTCACACGTACACGAAGTTCTTAATCATAGATTCCCCTTTAATTTAAACACAGTATTTCTTCAGAAGCATTGATATTAACAATATAAAAACACAAGACTCCTGGCAATGCTGAGTATCTTATAAATAATGTTTTAAGAGCTGTCTGGTTCAGATTTATATCGTCCTTAATGTTAAATGTTGGTTCCAAAATACCCTCAATGGATGAATATTATCAGAGATTCGAAGCTGTCATTATAATGTGACTTGGACTAAATTTCTGAGTGGCAAATACCCATGATGTAATGGATTACATTTTAGAGAGAAATTGCATATACCTTTATATCTGACTACTTTTTACTATCACACACAATATGGTCAGTCTCATAATGAATAAAAAAGAAGCATTAGTCCCTCATTTTTTCCACAAAAGCTTAAAGTTTCACAATCATGCATATATTAGACACTATTTCAAAATGCTGCTTTATTGGTTGGATATTCAAAATTACTGCCCAAGCTTTCTGATTGTTTAAAAGCACATGTTCAGTGCTTAACATACTGACTAAAAAGTACCAAGTTATCAGAGCCTATAAACAACAACAATCTATCCAGATACAGGTATCCACTGTGCCTATTTTCTGTTGAAACAGCCATAGTAAAATCCACAACTTCAATGGATTGATATAGGTAGTAATAACAGCCAAGTGCACTTAATAGGAAATTTAACCACATTGAAAATGCACACGTATATTCATGAACAGCTTAGTCAACAATAAAACAGTCCGAGAAGTGTGCATTTCGCTTAAACTTGTTTTAAGAGGAAGGTTATTCTCTCTTTCATGTTGGCAAAGTTTTTAGAAGCATTTTTAAGGTTTTCACACAAGTTTGAAAAGGTCTGTTCTATAAATCAGTTTTTTACAATGGAATAGATTAAAATAGCCATTTGTTGGGCACCAAGGGGTCACCTGTGACACCCCTGGTTTTCCTGAGACAAGAAGATCTGGCGATGGCCGCCATGAGTGGCAGAGGGCAGCTAATGATTTTTTGAGCAGTGTTAATTACCCTCTGTGCAGCCTTCCTGTTCTCAGTCCTGGCCCCCACATACCAAAAACCCAAGTAGTAGGAGAGCACGCTCTCCACTGAGGAGCGGTAGAAGGCCAACAGCAGCTTCTGGTCCAGGTTATTCTTCCTCAGTTTACATAGTAGCGTAGCATGTTTTTTTTTTTTATCTGAGGTAAAAGAGGGTTTCAGTCTCAATCCAAATTTCCACTCATTTATTGCTTGAAGCAGTTCAAAAGTAATTGATGTACATGGATCTCTTTCTGGTTAGAAAACCACAGTCTGCCGCAGTTAGCTGTAGCCAGCTTCCAGAAGAGAAATGACCTTAACATAGCAGTATAGATATTTATAAAAGAGAAGGTGCATCTGTCCTATTGGTCAAAGACCATCAAGAAGGACAGTGGTTTCGATTTTGGCCCTCCTTATTGGTGGACAGGTTGGTCCAAACCTCTTGATAGTCTTCTTCTCCTCAATTGGTTGCAATTTCCCCAACAGATGGACACGCGCACACACATGCACACTGTGTACGCCCGAGGCAGCGTGGGCATATGGAATTAGCTATTGTTTCTCAACCTTGTACTGGTTCAATCCCACATTCCTGCTCTTAGCCTACCACTAAGTCTGCACAAACAACACTGAAATCATATGAATCTATACATTTTCAACTTATTTTTTCTGCAGTATTTGTTTCTTTTTAAATGTTTTTTTTTTAGCTTTGCTGTCCAAAATATATCACCACTAAATCTATAATGTTGAAATTAATGTATACACACATAAAATTAAAAGTAAAATTTCACAATAAAGTGCTGGTAATCATGTTGCACAGTGTCTGGGTGTGTGTGCGTCAGTCAGCTTCTCTTTTGAGAATAAAAACCACACACACGCATATAGACCACATCTTGCTTAGCACTTTCCTCACAATTAACTTGCTGCAGTTCTCAGGAACACACCAGCTTTCCACTTTGAATTGACTGACAGAATTTCATCATGACTGCTGGTGTACGACAGCTTTTAGGCTTGGCCCAGCTTTGTGGGGAACATCATCATCTGTGCTCTCCCACAGTGGAGAGTGAAAGAGTTCTGGCGTTAAGTTTATCCCTTTGAATCCAACGTCACTGTGTCTCTGATGTTCTTTGAGGGTTTATGGAAGGTCTGTGTAACAACCTCCGATGTACTCCCGACTCCATGCCAAAGGTATGAGGAAATGCATGTGTCTATAAGTCCAGACCTGAAGGCTGCCAGAGTGCTCATTGTCATTGCCATTATCATTGGTGTTTTTGGGATCCTGCTTGGTGCTGCTGGGAGCAAATTCATCAACTTTGTGTCACACGAAAGGAAAGGAAGCAAAATGGCTATGGCTTCTGGAATTGTTTGCCTCATTGCAGGCATCTTTGTGCTAATACCAATCTGCTCGACCACCACATATATCAACAATAATTCTGAT